CCCCCGGCAATGTTAACAATGCCTGGCCTTAGGCATTATTCACATTGCCTAATTCGCCAATTTTTCTTTGCCATTTTTCGAACCTTTGCGAATTGATTTATAACTCAAATTTATACTCTACTTGTAGCTAAAAGAGTGCACTTTAATTTAATATAAAAATCATTAAATTCTATTTGCAATAAGTATAAAAAATATTTGCTAAAACTTTTCAAAGAGTTGGCAAAGTAGGAAATAAATTGCAGCATGGCATTCTTTGCTATTTTATGAACTTTTGCAGATTGATTTATACCATAAATTTGTATTCTACGTGTAGATAAAAGAGTGCACTTTAATTTAACATAAGTTTTATTAAAATCTATTTGCAAAACGTATAAAAAATATTTGCCGAAACTTTTCAAAGAAATTGCAAAGATGCACAACTTACAGCAGTGCATTCTCTGACATTTTCTGCACTTTACATTTGATTTTTATAACTCWAMWWWGTAYTCTACGYKTAGATAAAAGAGTGTACTTTAATTTAATATAAGTTTTATTAAAATTAATTTGCTAAAAGTATAAAAAATATTTACTTGAACTTCTCAACAAAATTGCAAAGATGCACAATTTACAGCATTGCCTTCTCTGACATTTTCTGCACTTTACATTTGATTTTCATAACTCTACAAAGAATTCCACATGTAGAAAAAAGAGTGTACTTTAATTTAATATAAAATTCATTAGAATCCATTTGCCAAAAGTGTAAAAAATATTTACCAAAACTTTTCCAAAAAATTGCAAAGATGCACAATTTACAGCATTGCATTCTCTGATATTTCCTGAACTTCACATGCTAAATTTATAACTCGATATAGTATTCCACGCGTAGACAAAAGAGTGCACTTTAATTTAATATAAAAATCATGAAGATCCCCTTTGCTATAAGTATAAAAAATATTAAAAGTATATTCCCACGGGAGCAAATCGCAGTTTAATATTAACATGTAGAAAATGTATTGGTAAGTCAAAATTACTAAGTATCTATTTAAAAAAATAAATGTAACCTTAAAAAACAATAAAAAATAAATTTTTTTCGATCATTTTTTTATTGCCATGTATAGTCAATGAAAAACACATCAACTTTGGTTTAATGTATTTTTTTGTCAGATTATCGCAAGTACTTGAAAAATTGTTACTAGAGTTATTTCATCTAATTTAAACCTGTCCAAAAAAAAACATCCCTAAGAATTAAACTTAGTAATAATATTAAAAAATTTTGGATAAGAAAAAAAATTTATTATATTAACATTAAGTATAATATATATATACAATTCATATGCTATTAAAAGCACTTATTAATTTTATTCTGCGATAAGTTTTTTTTACTGTCGTTAATTCTGATGTTAAGTTACCATCAGATCTCAGTCGGTAAGATAAAGGTAGAGCACTACTATTACCAATTTCGGCTTAGCCATGTTACTAGAAATTCAATATATTTGAAACTTTCTTAGTTCCTAGTAACTTTTAATAGGAAGTACTGTACACATTGTCAATGTGTAATTAAATTGTATATACATTCTATATACATTTAAAAAAGCAAACAACAATTAAAAATCTAATATAGATATTTTGTGTTAATTAATAATTAAAGGAGTTTACTCGTTATGAACGATTGTCTTGGAACAGGTACAAGATAAAGATTTATTAGATTAAACAAAAAAAAACGATATCAAATTGGAGCAAAAAAAATCGGAGGAAGACGAACAAACAAAAAATGTACAATTGATTGAAAATAAAAAACAATAAAAATTTTCATTGCTTTGCTCAGAAATAGGAAAAAACATTATTGTATTTTCAATTATTAATAACTAATTAAATATATAATCAATAAAGTAAACAATTATATGGATCTTAAATGTGCAATTAGTAAAGAATTTAGCAGTACTTATTTATTTTTGTCTGCTGTTGTGATTTTATTCCAATTTTTGTATGCTGATGCACTCTCGGTGCATCGTCGAAGGGGCAGGAGATGCAAAGTGCATGTTGGCGGAGTATCAAGGTCTTTTAGGGGTACGAGATCGGATCTGGTATATAAAACGACGAGTTTCACTTATTCTGCGATCACTCCTATTCTTCTCTCCTTCCATCAAAGTTTCAACATGTTCGTTGTTCAAACTCTCGTAAGTTACTTCCTATATATTATAATGCATACTATTTAAAAAAAAAAAACATGTCTATTATGTAATATAAATAATACATGTGTATAAATATTAAAAAATTATAAATTTTTTCTTTTCTGTTCATTACGTTTAGATATCATTGGCATATTTTGCTGTATTGACAAGATGTCAATATCAACGGGAACACCAACAAGCAGCGATTTTAAGCGATGCGAGATATTTATCAGGTGACGGGACATTTGGTGCAGCCTACACCCAAGAAGATGGTGTTGAATTTAAAGAAGAAAGTGACGTTAACGGTGACCGTCGGGGATCCTATTCTTACGTCGACCCAACTGGACAAAGGCGTACAGTAACTTACACAGCTGGAAAGAATGGTTTTCAGGTAAGACCCACACCCCCTACGACTACGATTAAACATTTAAGCAAAACGAAACAGAAAATAATACAAATATAATGCATTATTATTTGGTAATAGGCAAGTGGCGATCATATTCCTGTTCCACCAGCACAAATACCACCGCAACCTGAGTACGTGCCATTACCAGAGTATAATCCTCCTGACTATAAACCACCAGCAGCACAAGTACCAGCTTATAGGACTCCTCCATCTCCCCCACCACCAGTTTATAGGCCAGCTCCTCCAACCAGCCAGTATCAAACACGAGCTGAACCGGAATACGACCCACGAGCCGTCTATCAAGCCCACCAACCCCAACCCCAATATCAATATCGTCCACAGACACGATACACATCACCGGAAATCCAATCTATACCCTCGTTTAACCCCCGACCACAGTATCAACCTACCCCAGGAGCACCTATTCAAAGATACAACGATATTACAACCCCACCATCAGCCAATAGATTCTATCCGCCCGGTAAACTTAGTTTCAACAGGACACCCGATGGATTTTCTTACACATTTAGCAAAAGTTAGAAAAGAGAACAAACCTAATTCTAATTAAAAATTACTAACAATAAGTCTAAATACTTGAATAGTTTTATTATGCACAAATGTATCGTAGAGAGAGTCAGTCGAGTGCAACAACAACAACAACGACCTTGATACATGATCTTAAACTGATTAAGAAAAATCTACTTTATTACCGAGAATATTATATAATCTACTTATTTTATTCATACGCGGATTTTTTTTTCGAAATCTTCAGAGACCACGCCCCGTATTTCCTAGGATTACCATTCTCTCTCTCTCTCTCTCTCTCTCTCATCAGGTCAAACTCACTTTCATCCTGTAACCTTTTACCAAGATTTCGTAATGAACTACTTACACTCCTGGGAACTTTGTGATCCTAACGCGTTTATGTTCATCTACAAATACATTGCTACAGTGCACGATGTATCACGATGCTTGTCCAACATTCCTAATCCAAATGTTATTCGAATAAATCACATGGTACTTTGTACAAAAATGTAATATTATGTAATTTCCTTTAGATTGAATGTATCTAATGAAAATAATAATGAAATTGAAAAAGAGATGAAACTTGGAATGTTATTAAAATACCAAAGAATTCTATTAAGACATCTAAATTTTCAACCTGACGAATGATAAACGTTTTTAATCTTGTTTCAATATCTAATATCATTTTTATCTCGATCTAAAATAATAGATCAAGTAAAGGACACATGTGAGACACCGTTAGAAACTAGCGGAAGGAAAGTGAGAAATCATTTGTTGACTCATGAATACTAATCAGGGTCACGTTTAACATATAATGCGTTAAGTGCAAATCTCGGAATAACATGAAACTTTCTTATGGGGGGGGGGGAGGAGAGGGGAATAAATAAATTTAATAATTATTATCATTTTCCTTTTATGTGTGATTTCAATCTACCCACGTACTTTAAGAATATATATATATATATATTTCTTAAAATGAAGTTCTGAAAAAAAGAAATAATTTTCAAAAACTATAATTGATATTTGAAAAATGTAAATTTGAATTTAAACCGAGTCACGTTTGGATTATTTTATTATTTAAAAAAAATATACATAACAAAAATGCAATGTTAACATTTTATATTATTCTATATGAAAAAATGAAATATTTTTAAATCAATTGATTAAAAAACAAAATTGTTAATATGAATTTGATTAATATAATATTAATAATATTCAAATCCCAAAATAATTTATATGGTTTTTTTAAAATATATAAATGTGACCCTGATAAAAAAAAAAAACAATGAGAATATATTGTTATCTTAAAAACTGGGAAGAAGAAACCAATAAGAAATGAAACGACGAGTGTTATAGTGACGAAGGAGATTGGAAAAATATTTAAGTACTTATGACAAGAAGAGGGGTGCGGCTTGTGGGCAAGGTGAACCACCTCCTTCAGAGAAACAGGAACTCGGTAGTTCTCAGTTAGGTGGGCCGAAAAGAAATGCATACCATAACAACACATACGAATCTATACGTGTACGTGTACGTGTACGTTCATTCGTTGTCACGTTGCAGATCGTCGTGGGAAATTTTTATCACATTTCACTTATTAAATATATTTTTTCTTTTTACTCGATTTAAAATTGTCGTCGTCCTTGCGAACAAGTTTTGCTGAAAAAAAAAAAAAAAAAAAAGAAAAAAAAAAGAAAAACCAATAACGAAAGGAGAAAGCATCGAAAAAAAAAAACACCGTAAAAAAAAGCAGAAAAAAAAAAATAAAAAGAATTTGACGTTACTTTTAATCGCGTTTTTTTATTTTACAAAGGTATATTTTGAGAGTATACATTTCGTGTCATTTGTTTATTAATTATATCTGAATTTCTGTATTATTAGTTTGCGCGTGACATCGATGTTATTAAAAAGAAAAAAAGAAATGAAAAAAAAAAAAAACGTACTCCTATACGAGACAATTGTTATTATCTTTTTTTCTTTTTTTCTTTCTAATAACCAATGACGCGTTGCGTAGATGAAATTCAGTTAGCTTTTCACTCTGTGTTTTAAAAGACAAAATTTAAAAAAGAAAAAAAAAATATTTAGAAAAAAACAAATATTTAGAAAAAAAAAAAAAATAATTATAAAAAGAATGCTCAAGAGAAAATTAATTTAGAAGATTTTCAGTAAGAAATAAAACGTTAGTTTAATGAAAGAAAATAAAAGTATTATTCAAAAAACAATTATAGGGAGAGAGAGAGAGAGAGAGAGAGAAAAGAAAATGTGATAAAATAAATTTAAATACAATAATTCGTGCATATAAGAAATGAAAAATTATTTAACTATATAATAGGGGCTCGAAATTTGTCAATTCGCAACACACGCATATACAAACACTTAAATATTTATACCTATTTTAATTATTTTTTTTCGAAATTTTTAAGTATTTGATAATTCAAAATCAAGATCATTTAAAAGCCTTTACAAATTCGTATTTGATGTTTTGTTTTGTTTTTTTTTTTTCAACGAATCACAATGAGAATGCCTTTATAATTATTCCAAATAATTATACAGGCACAATTTGTTCAAATTCGTCGTAGAATAAAATAAAACAAATTGTAAATGATGCGACGATGTCAGGGAGGCACAATAATATAATTTCAATATTATTAATCATTTGTTTATATCCGATGATTAATAATTTAAAAAGAAAAGAAAAAAAAGAAAATCGAATAAAATCTTTCAAAGAAGAAATTAATTGAAAAATGTTGAAATTATATTAAATTATTGTCCTCGTGACAAGATTTCATTTATTATTTCTCCTTAGAATGTAAAAATTATGCTTAGAAATTATTCAATATGTATAGACCAATGATAGCGAATCCCATAACTCACGGGGGTAAAGTATACGAAAGTACACGACGACCCGTAAATATTCTATAATTTTAATTAACTTGGTTTAAACTATTTTATTAATGATTATTATTATTAAGAAATAAATTTGTTAATAAATGGGTGAATTTGTTTGTTTGTTGAAAAGTCTTAAGTTAATATAAAAACAAAAGTTTTTTGTTATTGTTAATATGAAGACTCAAAACTTTTCTCTATCCACCCACCCACTCACGTATTTATTTCCCATACAGAACAAATTATTTATAAAGAAAAATAAAAAATAAATTACTAAATCATTACCGCTAAATCGTTAAAAACTAAAAACAATTTTGATTAAATTATTATATTTACTTATGTGTATACTTTAAACATTAAAAACAGAATTTTTATCTGCCAACTCTTGTAAATATATAAAATTTTCTTACTATCTCGTTTTATAGTAAAAACAATAAAAAAAAAAAAGTAAGAAGCAGAAAAAGATTCGCCATAGATGCATTAGATACAAATTCAAAGATCGAATAAAAAATGACAATTTTGTGAACTACGATTTATACACTTTCGTTAAAATATTAAACAATTGAAATTTCGATCTGTCTCCTTTATAATATTCCCATATTAAGTACACGGTCGTGTAAGCCATTTGTCTCGTGGTTTAATTAAACAATTAAAATCAATAAACAATAGGATTAAAAAAAAAAAACAACAATGATATAAATATTTTCATATTATTCTCAATCACTTCCTTCGTAATAACTCCGGACACATGTTGTTGATCGAGATCAAATTTATTTGGAAAAAAAAAAATGAAACAAATATTTATGATTTAAAAATCGATCGATCGGAAGTAGCAGTTCGTAAAAAAAAAAAAAATAATAACAATCCACCAATTAAAAAGATTAAAAGTACAAATTATTTTTTAAGAAACGATAGAAAATGTATTAATATTAAAAAGAATATTTTCTAAAATGAAGAAAAATAAAAGAAACAAAATACTAGATTAAACAAAACACGCGCAAAGAGTATATTACTCGCAAGGAACAGCACTGAGTTTAACGGACCGGTAATGAGTTTTTTTAAAAGCTGATGATACTGCAATAATAATAGCTGAGGATGATAGCGAGAAGCTTATTTTACGTAGAGAGGAACGTAGAACTATTTTAAGAAATTACATTTAAATACCGATGCAATAGCAATAACTCCCAACGTGTCGATATATCGCGTTAGTATCTAAATATTATCAATATTATTATCATTATCATTATTATTATTATTATTATTATTATTATTAATATTATTACTGTAATTGTTATAATTATTAATATTATTATATTTATAATTATTACTGCTACTAATTATTTTCTCAAATTCATACTTCAAACTTCAATATCATCATCCCGCGTACAACGGATTTAGTTGTTGTTTATAAGAGCACAAATTAAAATGAAATAATTGTAAGTTGAAAAATATTTTCAAAATATTTGTTCATCAAAATAAGAAGATAATAAAGCATAGCGACAAAAAAATTGCCTCGATTGAACAAACGTTCGCGTTTGCTTGTTCATATTCGTAATTAAAAGATTGTTTTGTATATATTTATATATATGTCCTGTATATTATATGAATGCATGGTGTATGTGTGTGTTGTGTAGTATGGTGTATGTTGATGTGTGCATGGTATATGTATATATATATATAAATGTATATACCATTATAATTACAATAACGCATGACAAATTTATGCACGAGTTCTGGTCGAGATTCAATGGAGTACTTGTACTATGGTAAGACACGGATCGACGATAAAACGACATGATGAGGCGGTGTAGTTCTAGCTGCATATACCCGAGGCATCAACCAGACCACGAGCAATCAGTTCAGCTGTTGCCGGGTCACTTCCTTGTTTTCCACTAGAATGTTGTTGAGTTTGTTGGCTACCGTGTGGTTCAAAATGAGAGCGAACGTGAAACATGAATTCGGCTTTATCCGTGAAATCCGTGCGACACATCAAACAAAAGTGCCTTTCCGATGAGTATGGCTGTGGCGGCGGAACCGAGGCAGGAAAATAAGGGGCTGCGTGTTGCGGTGGTACTGGGGAAGATTCCAAATGTGACCTACAACGAGAAAGAAAATTGTCAAAGATGTTAGGAATATTATAGAGAAGTTGTTTCATTGTTTTTAGGTTTTCAAGAATCCTACCGAGCATGTTGCATCCATTCCTCTCGCGTGCTTAACGCTCTGCCGCATAATTCGCAAGCCCAACTAACAGGTTCTTCTTTTAATTTATGAACAGTGTCTTGACGAGGTGGTTGCTGTTGTTGTTGTTGTTGTTGCTGTTGCGACGCTTGCTGCTGTTGTTGCTGTTGTTGCTGCTGCTGTTGCTGTTGTTGATCCGTACTAGGTGCCGTAGGGGTAGACAATGGTGTAACTCCAGGCCTATGTCTAAGCTTGTTCATATGTATCACCAATTTGTCTCTACGAGCGAACGCTTTACCTACAAATATATATCCCATTCTCGCAATAAAATTGTAAACTGGTGTATCTATGTGATAGGGATGAAGATAAATGTCATTATTTGAAGGTACTAACCGCAAACCTCGCAGGAATAGGGCTTTTCTCCGGTATGTATGCGCATATGAATGACCAATTTATCCTTACGAGCCAGACCTTTTCCACATACGGTACATGCGAATGCTTTTGTATTGGGTTCACCGGTATTGGTGGCTTTGGATACCGATCCTGGACGTATTCCTACGTTATTGGTCGTTCGAAGCGGTTGATTGATCGAGGGGGCTCGTGAACTTGGAAATTGTTGTTCTGTTGAGCCAGGAAATGCTGGCATCACTCCACCTGGTCTCATCACTGCCGAGTAATCAGGTGACCTATTTAAATCAAATACAAATAATTATAGCAATGGTTCATCCAATATGATTTATGATTAAATTCATGTTTAAAAAACTATGAAGCTAAGCTTTACCAAGTGCCAATAGAACGAAGAA